AGGGAGAAAGCCCTGGAAGGAATCTGAAATCACTGTAACACACCTGGGGAACACTGGGAACTGTACTTTACTGAAATTAAACCAACTGTCTTCAGGTATAAGTATCTTTTGGTTTTTGTAGACACATCTTTCTGGAAGGGTGCTTATTCCACCCAGACTGAGACAGCCTCCATAGTGACAAAGAAACTGCTCCAATAATTAGTTTCTAGGTTTGGATTGCCCCTCACCTTGGAGTCCAACAATGGCCCAGTCTTCACAGCCCAAATCCCTTAAAATTTGGCAAAGGCATTAAATATGAATTGGGAGTAACATTGTGCCTATAGGCCACAGAGATCAGGACAGGTAGAAAGAATTAACAGGACATTAAAGGAAACCCTGACCAAATTGGTTATAGAAACAGGTGAAAGTTGGGTCAACCTCCTCCCCTTTGCCCTACTCAGGGCTAGACGCACTCCATACTGAGAAAGACTCACCCCTTATGAGCTCATGTTCGGAAGGCTGCCACCTATCCTTCCCAAATTGAAAGATACACATAGAATAGAATGACCAATTACTCTCTTCTCAAGTCATTACAGGCTCTGCAGCAGACCCAGAGGGCCATCCACCAGACAGTCTAAGGAGCTGGACTAACATGAATTCCCTGATTGTTATGACTATACTTTGGCTTCTCTTCTTCCACAAGGGAATTTCTTATAGTCCCCATCGCTCCCAAGCCTGGGAATGGCAACTCAGGAAGACCAGAGATGGGACAGTCCTTGTGACTGTGACCACCAATGGTCAATCCACCTTCCAAACAGATCTCTGCATCCTTACAGCTTTAACCTTATGATACCCCTATGGCAGACATGGAGGGTATCAGGCAGTGGGCTGTGGCAACCTAGGATTTGAAAAAGGAATTCAAACCCTCTAATTTTATGCCTGTCCTGCAAATGGCAAGTCGTCCTGTCAGGGGAATGACCAGTACCACTGTGCAACCTGAGGTTGTGAGACATGCCCTCATTTTGGGGGCATACAGACCCCTACATCCACATAGATAGACAGAAAATACCCCAGACTTGTTCTCCAGGTGGCTGTAATCCTCTAACTATCAAGATCATAGCCGGGAATACTTCAGGCCACCACTGTTGGGTGACAGGGAGAACTTTGGAAATAAGGCTTTATGCCACAGGAAGGGACTCCCGGGGAGGAGTTTACAATATAGAAAAGGCATCCACCCAGGACCCTCACCCATTGGCCCAAACCAGAACCTTTATCTATCAGTACCTGAGAAACCTACAGTCCAACATCTCCCCATGACCTTGGTGACACTTGCCACACTAGGAAAAATGGCTCCAGCCACCACAGCCCGAAGCCCTGAAGCAGCCCCCCCCACCATGTTAAGTATGCTAGTGAAAGTCCATCAACTTTTAAATCATACAGAGCCAGCCCTGGGTCAGGACTGTTGGTTGTGCTCAAATCCCAAACGGCCCTTACTATATTGAAGTTGGACTAGATCAGACTCTCACTTCTTCCAAAGGCCAGACAGGTTGTGACAGGAACCACCCTGGAGTCACCTTAGGGAACTTACAAGGACAAGGGCCCTGCATTATGTCATCTAACTATGACATTGAGAGATCTCCCTTTAAGGGAGTTTGCAACAGTAGTTTACGCACAGTGTGGGGCAGAGATTTTTCTTCCTTGCTCCTGAAACTACCTGGCTGGCTTGCACAAATGGACTGACTAAATGTACATCCTCTGACCCGTGTGAGGGTCAAGGAGGGAGAGTCCTCTGTATACTCCTCCACATTGCCCTCAGGTATATATATATATATATATATATATAGTGGGGAAGAAGAACACCTTGATCTAGATCCAGGATTATCCAGAAGAAAGAGGGCAGCCCCTGTGGCCCTCCTCCCACTCCTGGTGAGGGCAGGTATAGGAGGTTCAGCAGCCATTGGTACCTCTGCTCTAACTGTAGGAGAGAAAAACTTCAAGGATCATAGTATCCAAATAGACATGGACCTTGGACACTTAGAATATTCCCTCTCCAGACTTGAAAATCAGGTAGATTCTCTAGAAGTAGTGTTACAAAACCTCAGATCTTATCTTCATGAAACAAGGAGGTCTCTGTGTGGCTTTAGGAGAGACCTGCTGCATCTATACGAATCAATCCAGGTTAATCAGGGAAAGCTTAGCATTAGTTAGGAGAGAAAAGAAGGCATGAGTCTGACAAATGGTACTAATCTTTATTTTCCTGGTCTCCTGTTCATGGCCTTGTTCATACACCCTGTTCATGGCCTTGGCTGGGCCTCTAGTCCTCCTACTCATGGTCCTGACAGTCAGACCTTGTCTGATCAATTGCCTGGCTATATTAGGCAATGAATGAATGCAGTAAAAATCATGGTCCTAAGAGGACAGTATAATCCCCTAAATGAGTCCAGGATTTGACTCACACCTATAGAACCAGTGGGGAATGTGATATGGTACTTCTTGATCATAGCTATGCTATGTTGAAGTTTAAGCTGACTCTAGCCTCTGAAATTATCAGGCAGTTGGCCCAGGGTATGGGAACACATGTCAGCAGGAACCCAGTTGTCTTGGGAACAGCATGTCTTGGAGTGTCTGCTAGCTGCAGATTTGTGGCTTCTGTAGGTTATTCTTGGCTTGCTTCTGCAAAGTAGTAATTGTTGCTTAATAGAATAGAATTGTTAAGGGGCTTTCTACTTGTAAGCTTGGGAACTTAAACTTTTCACTGCTGGTAATGGTTTTTCTGTATAAAAGCTTACCCTAGGGATGACTCAGTGCTGCACTTGGGTTCCAACACCCTTGTGTAGTCACTGGCCAGCTAAAAAAAGACTTTCATTTGGCAAAACTTTGTCTGTGTAGTCTTCTCTGGTGAGGCGCCTCACAACACTATAAACTAGTACAAGTAGGCTATTCATTTTAAACAGTTCTATACTATCATTTCAACCTCCTTGCTTTTAGAATATTCAAAATGTAAAGTGCACAAGTATCTAAGAATTGTCTGGCTCAAAAAGTATATCAGTCAATCTTTTGTTTCACAGATTGGAAAGTAAAAGCTCACAATTATATTTCTATAATCATATATCTTGAAATTTTTCCAACAAAACATAAGCCTTACCAAAAACTAATTAACACAAGTTTTCAGTTTCTCAAACACAGGCCACACACATATTACAAAAACTTTAGAAACATGTTTAAATAAAGGTTTTTGTTAGGGAGAGGGATGAAGGAAAGATAAATAATACTAAGGATGTCTGAAAAAGTTATAGGGAAATATATTATTTTATAAGCTTATTTAAATATATACCATATGTGTGTACATGTGTACAGCCAAAGCCTTTCTAACAAAAATCACAGTGCTAGGCAAGGGGAGCCTCCTTTTGAGTTGTTATTCAAGGTAGTCCAAGAGACTCCCCAAATAGTAAAGGCTATTGCCATAGCCCTCAGAATTTGAAGGTAAGACCCTATTGCTGAAAACACCATACACTTTGGACACAAGACTTGGTGGAATCAAGCTAGAACTAACTTGGAAGCCTCCTCCCAGAAGACTAGCTCTCATAGTAATATACAATGTTATATAAGCTGCCAAGTAAAAAAAGCAATTAATAGCCCTACCTGGCTACAAACTCTGTGAACCAAAACAATGACTGGCCCAGCAAAATATCCCTAATGGTGCTGTGATGGTTTGAATAGTGTCCCCCATAGGCTGAGTATTTGAATGCCTGGTCAATTGTGGCACTATTTGGGAGGTTTAGGAGGTGTGACCTTGTCAGAGGAAACATGCCAGTGAGGGTAGGTTTTAAGAGTTCATAGCCTTGCCCCACCTTCAGTTAGTCTCTCTCTGCTTCCTATGTGTGTTTGAAGATGTGAGCACTCAGCCTTCTGCTACAGGTGCTTATGTCACCATGCCCCCCCCCACTGTGATGGGCTCTGGAGTCATAAGCCAAACAATCATTTCCTTCTATGTTGCCTTGGTCATGGTGTTTTATCACAGCAACAGAAAAGGAACTAAAACAGGTACAATAGTGGTATTTTTGTCTTGGGGGTAACCAATAGGTATCTAATTGGACTAAGGCCTGATCAATAGGAGAAAATTCTTGACTGGTACTATAAATGTAGCCAAATGCTCATGGCTGGAGAGGTCACAGACCCCATAGGAGGAACTACGATTGTCCCCTTCTTAAACCAATATAACTTCAAAACATATTCTAAATACTTATATCCATGGGTAAGTAAACTCTCACCACTCGTCAAAGAAGCTTCTTTTTACAACAGATGGAGAGTACTACAAAATTCCACAACTGGTCAAAATGCAGAAATTAAGTGACCTTGGGGATCCCACCCCAGTTGGTACATCTACACCAAAGGCTCAGGGAATGTTGCGGAAGAAGGGGCTTAAAGACTGTAAGAGTCAGAGAAGCAGGACTCCTACTGCTAGATAGTGTCTTCTAGACATCACAAGGAAGCTGCACCCATGAAATCTCCACAATATAACTGCCTAAACAAGACCTGAATAATGACACCATCAGTTGACAGGCCAATGTGGGCAGGGAGGGGAAATTTCAGAAGGTCCAGTCTCTAGATGAAGAGATACAGGTAATCAATGGCTGTCTAGGGAGAGAAAAATTAGTTTTCTCCAGGGACAAATTTCCTTACAGATTATCCAATCCAAAGTGGTCAGCCCTAAACACATATACATATAAGTACCACTAAGTGGACTCAGAATAGTTAAAGAGGGGAGGGAGGGAAGTGATGGAAATAAACTAATATATAAAATTTTCAGAATTTACAAAAGAGAATGAAGAAAACTATTTTTAAAGGAATGTACCTAACACATGACCCAATCATTTCACTCCTAGCTTAGCCAAAAGAAACAATATGTGTCTTTTAACCTCTACACAGACATGAACATTCAGTTTACTGGTAATATGCAAAACCCGTGGAGTTCATTTTGAGACAATACAGTAGTCAATAAATCTAGTGCACGCACATACTTGATATTGGATAACATTTCTTTCTCCACGGTTTTTCTATGAAGCAGGAAGCCACGCTTCACTGTTTCTTGATAGCTGATGTTACGAAAAACTATCTTAGGCTTTTCAGCAAATGTCTTTGGTTCACTAGCATTTATTCTGGAAAGGCCACTGGCGTTTCTTTGTGATATCTGGATAACAATCTGGTCATCATTTGAAGACATCTGGAGAGTTTCTGCTTTTCTGTAAAAGAAAAGTTTAAAGTAAGTTGAGACCCCAAATAAATGAGATCATAAACACTAGACAAGCACACATTTAAACCACATTGTAATGAGTAGATTATTTTCGATAGAAGAGTCCACTATGATAAAAAAGATAAAAACAAACTTTGAAACCTTCAGTGGGTGGAAGATACAACTTTAATACCTGCAATCTGATTATGTTTAACTAAATTCCTATGAAGTAAATAAGAATGTAGGAATTACTGAAAACTCTTGAAATAGGAAAAAGAGAAGTGATAGGTTTTCTAGTTTGAAAATCATATTATGATGCAACAGAAGTTCAAGGACAGACTACATGATAATAATCAGACATTCTATATTTTTGCTGTTGTTGCTATTAATGTTAGAGTGTACTATATATTGTTATTATACTAAGTTAGACTTAGCCAATCAGTAAGAGACAGGAAATTTTTGATTGAATTTAAGCTCAAGAGCTCAAATTTCTGGTTCTTAAGCACTTTTTATTAAGAAGGCAAATGCCCAACCTGGATGCTTTATGCTTTTGTTTGAGAAAGGGTCTCCCTCTAGCCTGAACTGGCCTGGAACTCACTATGTAGACCAGGCTGGGATTGATATCACAGAGATTACCCCGCCTCTTTGGGTATTAAAGTTATGTGCCACCACATCCAGCTTATGTCTTGTATTTACAAAGACATAGTAATTCCCATAATGGGAAAATATATTTATCTTTAAGTTAAAATTTTATTGCTATATAATATAACATAGAGAAAAGTGCAAATATCAAAGGTACAGTTGATAATAGCTAGCATAAGTAGCACCCAAATGAAGAAGTCAATATCACTAGCACCTCCAAAGCTGCATGGCTCCACCAGCAACCACCCCACCCCAAAGTTCATGCTGTCCTAACCTCTAACACTGCCTAAGGATAGAATATGTTTTATGTTGTTATTCTCCACTTTGGTAAGTCTAGACCTTGAAGATTCTTTTGATTTTCATGAAAGCCTTCAGACACATATCACTGTCCACATACCTATTTCCTTAGAATAGATTCCCTGAGTTGGAACTTCTGGGACAAATGCTGTGAAAAAAATAAATAAATAAAAGCTAGTTTGAATCAAGCTAGTTTGCATATTTAAATTCCAGGAAAATTTTAAAGTAAATGTAAAGAAATATACTGATCACTTTAATCTTTGGTTATACTTTCCTTTCGGGTGTTTAAGACCAAACAGTTGGCCCAAATAAACGAACTTATTTTTATCCTTTAGGGCGTTGGAGGATCTGTTCCTCAGGGGTCACAAGGGTTTGGGAGGAGCCCCTGGCTCCTTTCCTTTAACAGTTCCATCTATGTGAAAATAAGTCAAAGGTCCTGCTTGACTGTGGCTGGCTTTTTAAGAGTTCAAGGGATTACACTTCCCAGACATTAGGCCTAAGTCCATATAAAATGTTATTTAGACAATTATTTCTCACTAATGATTTCATTTCTAAGCAGAAAGTGCTGCTTAGAAAAGACTTCAAATCTTGGTCTGCAATACTGTAGTGCCCACCTGTAGCTAAAGGAGATAACCCACTATTGTTCTAAAATGATGGAAAAATTTGTTTTCTCCCCTATCTAGAAACCTTTGAGAGGGAATTGATACTGATTCTAACCACTCCAACAGCTATCAAAGTGCCTGAAAACAAATCCTGAGTCCATCACTCTCGAGCCCAGCCTTGGAAGACAAAAGAAAAATGAGGAAGGACCCAATAGAAGGATGCTTTTGGAAGCTCTTTCAAGAAATCCCAATGGACTCTGATATGAACATTTGAAATTTGCCCTGTTTTGACTTTTATCTGGTTCCCTATCAAGAACTTGGAATGCTAACTACTTTTGCTTTTACTTCTCCTTCACATCCCCTATTCACCAGTTAAGGACTTTCTTTTCTCCCTACAGGTAAGAGTTATGCAATTTGGGAGTCTTTTAGATAGACCACTGAAGAGGTACCCCAATTGCCTCACCCTGTAACCCTGTTCAGCATGGAAGAAGCCAGAGTGGTCTGCCTTCTGATTCCTTATCTGGGAATTTGGGTAACCTCTTCAGAGGGCGGTGTGATAAGAATAGGAGGTAGGAATTGGCTAGGCAGTTAGGGTAAAAGGACCCCAAACAAATGTAGCCAGTTTCTTGGCTAAAAGCCAAAATGACCTTCGGCCTCTTACTCTGTTCCAAAGGACAAAAAATGTCAAAAGTATTTGGGAACACTTATCTAATCCTTAAAAGATTTTAGGGTTACCTTTTCGGGGGGGGGAATGTTAGAGTAGCAAAAAGCCCCATTTTAAAAAAGAAGAAAGAGCACATGAAGACATCAGAAAAAAGTGATGGGGAGATATGGGAGGAGTTGAAGGGGAGGGAGGGGGCATGGATTTGACCAAAACATCTTATATGCATGTATGAAATTCTCAAAGTTTTTTTAAAATCTTTTTTTCATTTAATAACCACATGATTAGAAAAAGCATTTCATTGCAGCTTTAACATATTCAATAACAATACGAGAGCAAAGATACATCTCTTTCAAAAGTGGCTGTAAATTTTTAAGTTCACAGTTAAATTAATACAGTTATACAATATTGAACTCAGTATAAACCCTGTAAGACATAAAATTGAATGAGTTTTTAACCTTTAAAAAGATCTCCATTTCATTTTAAAATATACTGTTTCGTACAGAAGGGCTCATTGTTCTTCCTATTAACACTTAGATGTTGGCACATGCGTCTCTAATCTCTATGTATCTGATGATTACTAGTCACAGTCGGTTACACTTGGATCCTTGGCACCTGAGTATGGATATGGATATAAAATCTTCAGATAGATTTCAGTGATAATGTTTATCACCTCTACTAATTAACGTGAAGTAAATTTTTATGCTTCCTCCTCAAATGTAACTCATTTTTTAATTTGTTGATTTTTTTGGTGTGTCTATCATACAGAACACCCCAAGCAATCTTATTCACCTATATACACACTTCCCAAATGGCACTCTCTCATAGCCCCCCATCCCCCAGTGGAGCCCATTCATGGTGGAAGGGTTAGACAATGCGAGAGACAAATAATGCCTAGCTAGTTTTAAAAAACCACAGGGAACCATATTAGTCCAACAATCTACTGACAAATTATATCCTTCAGGTGTGTGCACAAGACTGGTATAGCCAGATCATGTAGTAGATCTATTTCTTGGTTTTTGAGTAACCTCCACACTGATGTCCATAGGGCTGTGGGAAGCGAGCACAGCTGAGCCAGCCAAAGATGGAGCCCTGGCTGGCTGCCAAACCTCGTGCTGTTTACTTCAACTCTTGGCTGATTGCCAAGGCTCGTGAATCCCGCTTGTTTACCCCAACTCTGAAGTATGGTGAGCCCAAAAACAGGTGCTGCCAGCCTGATGATCTTGCTACGTGGCCAATGAGCTGCCACTCTGCCTGCCCGCTGCACGTGTGTGTGCCCTGATTGGTCCTGGCCTGGGGGAGGGCTGTTGGAAATGCTATATAGAGAACTGAAGTGTGTAATAGAGAGAGCAGCACCAGAGAGAGCGAGGCAGCAGCATCATAGTGTATGAGATAATGAAAGAGAGAGAATAAAGGATGCAAGAGAAAAGAAGCTTGAACCCCATCTTGGTGTCTGTGTCGTCTTTCCGGGACTCTGCTGGACAGAGTCCCGGCTTGCGACAAATGGTGGCCCGTACGGGGACCCTGATGCTCGCGACAGTAATAAAGTTTTTTTTTTAAGTTAAAAAAATTAAGTGGGTGAGACAATGTGAGAGAGAG